ATTGACCGTCACGTTATAATGCCCTCATGGCTGAAAGGACAAGCATGTTTGGTGTAACGAGGATTCGAACCCACGACCCGCATATTGCTAGTCGAGCGCCAAACCCAGAAAGAAAGAACAACGTTACAAGATGTTTCGTGCATACATAATCAGACATTCCTTCTTATAATGTTGATATAGTTAAATCTATCTATCTTTGGGTTTATAATTATGCGAGGTTACATTAATTTCTAATACTCAACGCAAAATAGTAAAAGCTGTGCAACGATAAATGGTTCATCAATTCAAGGCTGTTTCATTAGGTCAATACGACCCGAAATATAACAGTCGTATCTAAATTCTGAAGAAACAAGAGGCGAGATAAGACGCTCTTTAATTAACTCACTGTGAAAGAGTTGTATGTTTGTTTGAAGTTAAACACAGAGCTACACAAAGGGCTTTCCTGTGCTCTGTCCACCACGGGTATCGAAACCAAGTTTCTAGCGGTATAAGTCCGCAGACATACCTCTATGCCACTGGGAGGCACTAAGAAAGGACAAACGTCACAACACTATTATAATCACGAGTTAAACGTTTGCTGCTCTTAGAATTACAATAGTTTAACGTCATTATAATACCCTCGAAACAAAACACGCCCCCAGTGGCACAGCGGCATGTCTGCGGACTTACAACGCTAGAATCCGGGTTTCGATACCCGTGGTTAGCAGAGCACAGATAGCCCATTGTGTAGCTTTGTGCTTAATTACAAACAAACAAAGTAATATTAAAGAAAATCCAGTCACTTTGCTTTGACATGAAACTACAAACAGAGCTACGTTTTTACCATTACTTACTAATGCATAACCAAACATACATTAGTGATAAAACTAAATTGGAGATTTTGTTCTTTCTTTCTTTTTTTTCGCCAAAATTCTATAATTATTATTAAAAAGAATCTCCGAGTCACCGAGCCAATTGTGTAATTTTTGGGTCCATACGACAGTAGCTTAAGAAGCGGGTGGCCAGCCCCCCCCCCCCACTTTTCAATTTGCCCCAATAAAGATGCATCAAATTTAGGACAATTACTCTCAGGAAATCGTTCTGTATCACCTATTTTTCTTCATCATCACCAGGTTCAATGTCCTGCATCGCAGATCGAAGCTAATTTCACCTTCTTCTTCTACTTTTTCTACATTCTACAGCCTTATCTTCATGATCGCTATCTTCACCAGCTTCCTTGTCCTGTACCACAGCTCGAAACTTGTTTCTTAATCTTCTACTTATTCTACATTCCACATCTCCATTTTCTTCATCACCATCTTAACCAGTTTTTTTGTTCTGCACCGTGCCTCGAATCCCATGTCTTTATCTTTTACATTCTGCAGTCCTCTGTTCTTCTTCATCATCATCGGTTTAGTTGCCCTGCACCGCAGCTCGATACTCGGTTCTTCCTCTCCTTCTTCTACTTATTCTACATTCCACATCTCCATCTTCTTCATCGCCGTCTTAACCAGTTTCATTGTTTTGCACCAGATCTCGAATCTCTTGTTTTTATCTTCTGCCGCCTTTCTTCTTCTTCGATAATCCACAACATTTTGTTCTTCATCACCATGTTCATTGTTCTAGACACCAGTTAGAAACTCGTTTCCTCCGCTTCTTCTTCTTCTCATTCTAAATTGTGAAGACCGTTTTTTATACATTCACTATTTTCAACGTTTGTTTTTATTATCTTTGATATCTTCGTCATTTTTCGGTTCATTATTTTCTCTCTGTAACAGTTTTCGGTAAAGCAGAACTGGTTATGTTTTTTTCACTCTGCAACAAACTTCTTCCGGTACATTTGAAATGGTATTTCCAGTGTAGAGACTTTCTAAAGTATCAATCCACAGTTATTTTGCACTGAGAGGTATGTTAGGTAAGTGAGGATACTTAGAAATATTCTATTACAATAACACCATTTCTTCGGGCAAAGTAGGATAAAAACTTTCTCCGTACACCAAAAACATAAAATCATTATAATCTCTCCAGTTATTTTCAGTTTTGGTGTTGAGAACACCGTTGGATTCCTCATAACATAGTACATATTTCGTAAAATTTTCAGTTTGGAATGGATGGTTTATATTTAAATATATTAGGTACTAGCTTGTTTGTTAAGACTATTAACTCAGCTGTAAGGGAAGTTTTAAACTAGGACTAGACAGTGGTGAGGGCCTGGAAAAACTGAATAGAATAAGACGTAGAGAAAAGTTTAGTATAGGAAATTAGTATAGAAGTAGTTATAAGGATAGGCTTAATTGATACTATTCTAATGCTAGAAGTATGAGAAATAAAATAGATGACTTTAGAACACTGGTAGGAATGGAGGATTTTGATATAATGGGAATAATTGAAACATGGTTAAACATAGATGAGTTTGACGACAGAAATGTCTTTGAAATTCAGGATTATAGGTTATTTAATAGGGATAGAGAACTAAAGATGGGGAGGGGAGTGATCTTATATGTAAAATGTGAGTTACGTCCTGTTGAATTTGAGGATATCAAAGTTAATAGCAAGGAGATTGAATCCATTTGGGTTTCTATTAGTGGATATAAAGGAAAAAAGGCTTTTAGTAGGAAGTTGTTACAGACCACCAAATGATACTGATGAAATTGGTGAGAAACTTTACAGTGAGATAAGATTTCAGCTGTTAATGAAGTCATAATTATTGGTGGTTTGATTTCAGGCATATATAGATTGGGAAATGCTAGAGTCAAACTCTTCAGGATGGCTTTTTTCACCAATTAGTCAAGGAACCTACTATAAACAATTATATTTTAGATTTATTGTTAACTTCAAATATAGAAATGATCAAGAGGGTAGAACTTTGGGAACATCTGGGTGCAAGTGGTCATTGCTGCAGGAGAGATCAGAAATAATAATATTTTGTTTACAAAATCCAAAAAAGCAAATTTTGAAGGGATGAGACAAGAATTATCTGTTGTGAATTGGGCAACTGAGTTATTTAGAGACACTGATCAAATGTGAAAAAGTTTTGAAGATAATTTTTTAAACATTCAAGACAAACATATTCCTTATAGAAATAAAAGGGTGGCTGCAAGTAAAAAACCAGGTTGGCTCACAAAAGGTATAAGAAATCTAAATTGACTGGTATGGCGGGAGATTTAGAATATTATATATATTATCAAGAAAGTTGGCCAAACAGGAAATTAGGGCAGCAAAAAAGATGTATGAAGAAAGGTTAGATGAAAATGTAAAAATGTAAGGATTTATTTAAGTACATTAAAGGTAAATAAAATGTTAGGATGGGGATAGGACCTTTGAGGGATGATAATGAAATGCTCGTATCTGATGATTATGAGATGGCTGGGTTATTACATTTTGCTTTTTCTTCAGTTTTTACTAATGAAATTTTAAGCAATATTCCTCATCTTGAACAGTCGTTAGATGAAAACAAGATCGAACAAAATGATCACATCAATTCTTAGTCTGTTAAGAAAAACTTCGGATGTTTAAAGAACGATAAGGAGGTTAAGGATTGAACATGTGAGCCACTTATTACTATTTTTTAGCAAGTCCTTGAATAGTGAGCAGGTGACAGAGGATTGGAAGTTGGCTAATGTTACTCATCTTTTCAAGGAAGGTGATAAAAATTGTCCCTGTAATTGTCAATACTACATCAGTTGTGGGAAAATTTTAGAAAGTCTGATAAAAGATATTTTGGAAAGCCATCTAACAAAGCTTAGAATTTTATTGGATAGTCAACATGGTTTCACTAAGGGAAAATGTTGCCTTACAAATCTTTTGACATTCTTTGAAAAGGTTACTGCTTATGTAGGTAAGGGTGTAGTTTGTTTTTAATTTCGCACAAAGCCACACGAGGGCTATCTGCACTAGCCGTCCCTAATTTAACAGTGAAAGACTAAAGGGAAGGCAGCTAGTCATTACCACCCACCGCCAACTCTTGGGCTACTCTTTTACCAACGAATAGCGGGATTGACCGTACATTATAACGCTCCCACCGCTGAAAGGGTGAGCATGTTTGGTGGGACGGGGATTCGAACCCGCGACCCTCAGATTGCGAGTCGAGCGCCCTAACCACCTGGCCATGCTGGTAAGGGTGTAGATTTGGTGTATTAGATTTTCAGAAAGCATTTGACAAAGTACTGCATAAAAGGCTTGTAAAAAAGTATCTCTGTAGGTGTGGGGGATAAGTTAGCAAATTGGATAGAAAGTGGCTGAATGGAGAAGCAGAGGTGTTATAATGGAATTCAGTCAAACTGGATTAATGTCACGAGTGGGGTACCTCAGGGGTCAGTATTAAAATATTTGCTATTTTTGATTCGCATCAATGACACAGATAAAGAAATGATCATTAGATTACTTAAATTTGCTGATGACATTAAGGTCTTGGGTGTTGCTAGCTGTGAAGAGGATGCTGCTGATTTACAAAAGGATTTAGATTATTTGGTGAGTTGAACAAATTAATGGTAAATGGATTTTAATTATAATAAGTGCAAGATAATGAATGGTGGTTATCATAATTTGAATTATAAATATAATTTGGATGGGAATAACCTTAACAGTGTTATGAAAGAAAGGGATCTTGGTGTAATAGTCGATCAGTCTCTAAAGCCATCCAAGCAGTGTGCTGTTACTAGTGGTATGGTAACAATACATACTTTTTGAGATTGTAAAGATAATAATAATACGTACTGTTTGAGATTACAAAGCTAGCAATATGTAGTGTTTGAGATTATATTATAAAGGTAACAATACGTACTGTTTGAGGTTATATTATAAAGATAACAATGAGTACTGTTTGAGATTGTAAAGACAACAATACGTACTGTTTGAGATTATATTATAAAGATAACAATGCGTACTGTTTGGGATTATAAAGGTAACAATACATATTATATAGGATTATAAATCTAACAATACATACCGTTTGGGATAATAAAGGTAAAAATACGTACTCTGGGTATTATACAGGTAACATAAAGGTTTTATTAACTAACCTGCCGATGCTGGTATTGCAAGAACAAGGCCTAGTGTCAAAAACACTTCATACGTCAGAACAATTCCAAAATTTCCTATCAAATTTGCCACTAGAAAGAAGAAAGAACTATTTAAGCTCGCATGGCGAAAAAAAGGCTAAATAATTTATAAGTACGTATTTTATTAACACATGTACGAATCTAAAAATGGAAGATTTAGAGAAGGAATTTAACACTACAATTACTCGTAATTTTAAAAGACAAATATATTGTTACAGTCTGTTACATTAGTTACTGAATATAAACCAAAACTCGAGATAGGGATTATCAGTTTAAGATGACATAAGTTATATCAGGAAAGAACGAGATGAATAAAATCGATACTAATTTAACGTAGATGTCATGTTAGATTATTTAGACCACTGAATATGATATTTGAGTGCAGCGTAATTAATAATAATTTTCTTTTTTACAATTTAATAAAAAAAAGTATTCCTTTATAATTATATACGAAATAGTCACTATTATCAACATTATTATTATTATGTTATTTATTAATAAAGTTAAGATTATTTTTGAATGATGTAAATGTTACCCAAAGACAGGATTGCGGCTCCACCTAGTGGTGCCCATGGTAACTGATTCCAATGAATTGTTTCGATATGTGTCAGGTGAAGAGAGATAAAAAAAGGCCACATAACCAATAAATTTAAAAGGCCAATCAGTGTGAAGAATATGGAAAGTTGTCCAGAAGTTACGTCCCCAATTAACTTCTTGAAGAACACCTGACAATAAAAAGAAAAGCTGGTAAATTATTATTTTAGAAGACACAAAATGGCCTCCATTTGCAGCTGATCCGTGGTGGAAATGAAAAGATTATTTGTTTGTTTGTTCTTAATCGCAAAGCTACACAACGGGCTGTCTGTAATGTGCCCACCAGGGGTATCAAAACCAGAGTTTCAGCGTTAGAAGTCCGCAGACATATCGCTGAGCCACTGGGGGGCAAAAAAATTGAAAGACAGTACAAGTATTCTTGAATATACAGGTTGAGTTTCGTACTGTATGTTTAAATTAACAGGTTGGGTTTGAAAAGAACGTTTTAAACCTACTTTGAATATTCAACTTTTGATTCCGCAATATCAAAATAGTTTGTTTTGGTTTATTTTGAATTTTCCGCAAAACTACTCCAGGGCTATTTGTGCTAGCCATCCCTAATTCAGTAGTGATAAACTAGAATGAAGGAAGTCACCCACCGCCCACTCTTGGGCTACTCTTTTACCAACAAATAATGAACTTGCCGTAACGTTATAACGCCCCTTGGATAAAAAAAAATCGGAAACGGAGATTTGAAACCGCAACCAGCAGATTTTGAGTTGAGCGCCCCAATCACCAATTATTATCAAGATAGAAATAACCGTGTTGTATTCATAATATAAATAATTCCATCAAATTCGAATAACTTATTACAATATACGTGTACAGAAAGTTTCCAACTGTACCTGTTTGTTTGTTTTAGAGCAAAGCCACATTGGGCTAACTGCGGTGTTTATCGCGGGGAATCGAGCCCTGGATTTTAGGATTGTAAGTTGTTAAAATGTTTTCAATTTCTTCTAATAATTAGTTTCAAAAACAAATTGTATTTATTATAAAACCTTGATAATATATGTTTTTTTTTTGTTTACAATTAAGTTATGTTTATAATGACCAAGTAATGACCAATGTTTAATTTACAGTACGTTTAGGTTGCGACGTATATAAGTCACAAAAGAACTAAAAACAAACAACTATGTGAACCAAAATTCAGAAATATATTGGAAATAGAAGAGTTGAGGTCACTTTAAATCACGATTATCTGTTGATTTGACAAAAACAGAAATTTGTGAACATGAAAAGGCAATCGTCTTAGTTTTTTTTAAGTCAAAAATGATAATGATAAATAAATATAAAAATATGTAATATAACAGTTAATTTTTTTAAAACTTATAATGGTAAGTGCCCTTAAGTTGAAAGTATATGAAAACACATCTGCAACTTTTCATTGCGTTCTTAGCAAAACAAGAGGAAGAAAAACTGACGAATATTAGATTGAATCTGGCGTAATAATATGGTTCACGATATTATGTTGGTTTTATTAGGATCAGTAAAAGGATAAAACAAACAGATGTTACATTTCAAAATTTTCCTGCTATATAATATATATAGGCCCGGCATGGCCAGGCGGTTAGGATGCTCGACTCGCAATCTGAGGGTCGCGAGTTCGAATCCCCGTCCCACCAAACATGCTCGCTCTTTCAGCCGTGGGAGCGTTTTAATGTGACGGTCAAACCCACTATTCGTTGGTAAAAGAGTAGCCCAAGGGTTGGCGGTGGGTGGTGATGAGTAGCTGCCTTCCCTTTAGTTTTACACTGCTCAATTAGGTACGGCTAGCGCAGATAGCCCTCGTATACCTTTGCTCAAAATTCAAAACAAACAAATAAAAACTTCCCACGTACTAAGCCTAGTTTTGACTCATGGACAACGTCAAAAACCGGAGCTCGACTTCCAGCGGTGGACAAACAGAGTGCAGATTGTCTATTTGCGCTAGAAAAAACAAATAATGGCAAGTAGTTTCTCAGTACCACCACACAAACACAATAGCTTGGTCAGTACCACCACACAAACACAATAGCTTGGTCAGTACCACCACACAAACACAAGAGTTTGGTCAGTACCACCACACAAACACAATAGCTTGGTCAGTACCACCACACAAACACAAGAGTTCTGAAGTTCTCTAATTTCCAAATTCAGAGAAAATAAAATAAATGGAGACAGAAGGAATCGATAATTTTTACCAAATTTTTAAATCTTTTTTATCTAAATACATAATATTTCAATAATTTTATGTATTTTATAAATAATACTGCCCAGTGGCACAGCGATATGTCTGCGGACTTACAACACTAGAATCCTGGTTTCGATACCTGTGGTGGGCAGAGCATAGATAGCCCATTGTGTAGCTTTATGCTTAATTACAAAAAACAAACAAAATAATACTGCAAACTTGTTTAGTATGATTAGGTTTAGCTTCTTCGCAATACACTGATAATTATTTTAAGCCTAAAAATTCGCATAGAAAGTATTTTATGTTATCCAAAACTTCAAACAACATAAACATACAGAAGGATAACAAAAAAAGATTCGAAGTTTTCAATAAACGAAGTCAAACCATGACATATTTTAGAAATACGAAACGTTTTTGCTCATAAACAGAATCTACATTATTGTATACCTTCTCAGCATTTCATTGAACGTTAATTTAATACACAAGACATCAATTGGTTGAAACTTTATAGCCTAAAAAAAAGCAATCTTTCAACTCTTATGTTTACGTAGCTAGATTAAGTAGATTCGAATTTTCATAAAATCCCGGTTGCCCTAATTACAAGTACATTCAACAGGCTAATTACTTGTTAAAGATTCTGGTGAGCATGTATCGGCTCCGTTATCTAGACAAGTCACGTATTTCCATACTTAAGTAATCTCCTCACGGCACACTTAAAAACTACACCTAATCATTACCATAAAACATACGTAGGCGTAGGCAGAAAAGTAAGTAACACCGAACCGAACTTAAGTGTAGTTTAGCTGATAATGTATAAAGTTTAGTTGAGTCAACGGTACGTTTACGAACTTACAATGCTAAAATCTGGGTTTGATTCCTTGCGATGGACAGAGTACGGGGTTTGTTTAGAATTTCGCGCAAAGCTATACGAGGGCTATCTCGCTAACCGTCCCTAATATAGCAATCTTTCATTTAGAGAGAAGGCAGCTAGTCATCACCACCCACCGCCAACTTTGGGACTACTTTTTTACCAACGAATATTGGGATTGATCGTCACATTAGAACGCCCCCACGGTTGAAAGGGCGAGCATGTTCGGTGGAACGGGGATTCGAACCCGCGACCCGCAGATTACGAGTCGAGCGTCTTAACCACCTGGCCTTGCCGGGCCGATAGAGTACAGATAGCATATTGCATACTTTTGCACTAAGCGAACAAAAACATACTAAAAATGCCTATCATCCTTTCAAACAAGATATGATGTAAAAAAATAACTCAAGATGTAAATGAGTTCCGAATTTAACAATATTGCTAATAGCTTTATGGCGTA